CACAACCACAGGTGGTTCTTCTTCTTTCTTCTTCCTCCTCCTCTTCTTCTTCTTCTTCGATTTTATTTATTCATGAGAGACACAGAGACAGAGGCAGAGACATAGGCAGAGGGAGAAGCAGGCTCTCTCTGGGGAGCCTGATGAGGGACTCGATCCCAGGACACTGGGGTCACACCCTGGGTGGAAGGCAGACGCTCAACCACTGAGCCAGGCGTCCTCACAGGTACATCTTCTAACATATTTTGTACGACATGATCATTTCCCTAAATCTCTGCACCCCCCCCCCGTACAACCAGGCCGCACAAATGCAATTTAATTATAATTTCCAGCCAATTCCCTTTTAGTACAATAAACGCTAAGGAGAACTTCATGGCCAGCCGCGGAGGGTTCTGTTCAAAGTTTCATCTGGAAAAGCTGTAGACGGTAAAGGTCTTGGTCCCCTCGGCGCACCCGGGCCATGGTGGTCCGGCCCCTCTGTGCCACCCCCTCTTCTCAGGTGAAGCTGCAGTGTCTCTGGTATTTGTTTGTTTGTTTATTTATTTATTTATTTATTTATTTATTTATTGCGCCTCTGGTTTTAAAGCCTGCAGCTGAAACATCAGAAATGTTACATTTGTCCCCCCATGCCCACCCCTCATTTTAGTTTTTTTTTTTTCCCTTCCTATTCCCACAGGGAGACTATCTATTTTTGCTTTAGATAAATGATGCATCATCTATTACTGTGGACTTCCTTCTATGATCGATTAGTTTGAGGCTGTCAGCGCTGCTTCAAAGCTACCATGTATCTTTCACACCCCTCTACACCATAATTTATAAGCACTGTGGGTTTCAAGAAGAAGAAAAAAAGCAGCCCTCGGTACTTTTATTAGCCGCTGAAATGCATTAGGGTGCATGCGCTTTGAACTGCACGGAAGAAGATAACCATGCCTGTAATTGGAATAACTCACATTGGTCCCCTCCCCGCTCCCTTTAATAACTTCTGCATTGTTTTATCCCCAGGATTTATCGATGACCTGCAGTAGCCCTCTCCCAGGCCCCGGCCCACTGGGGTGTTTGTGGGGGAAAGGGCAATGCACGTGGCCCACTCCCTGACCCGGGCTGCCCCATAAATCAGGGTCCGCATTCGTCTGTGATGGTGAGCCAGATGGCAGCTGTTGTTGGAGGAGCTCGACAGGAATCAAGGCCTGTGATCTTTCCTGTTGCTAACAGGCCTGATTTTTTATGGCTGTCAGCATCCTTGGAATGGCTGAGGGAGGCACGCAGGGAGGCAGGGGGCAGGGGCCCTTGGCTCTAGATCTCCGCTTTCTTCTCCCAAGGGGGCAAGCCACAAAGGTCTTTCTCTCTTCCTCACTGGTCAGGGGGCTCATCCTCATCGTCTGGTCTGAAGAAGTTTCCTAGAGTGTGCAAGTGGCAAAGTTAAATGTAACCAAAAGACTTCTAGAAGGGAAAATGGCGGTCAGCTTCCCTTTGCCATTGCTACACGGACCCTGACCATCACCTTATCTGAAAGATGAGCAGCCTTTGTGTTGGAGTAATGTCTAAAACTCAGTGGTTTCTTAAAACATGCTCTCGTTTCCCCAAATGCCTCTTGTATAGAAATAAGAACGATTACTTAAAGCTACTTGGTGGGTCCGACATTTAGATTTTTTGCTTTTCCAGAGTGAATGGAGAGAAAATTCAGGCAGGATGTAAGGGCAAAGGATGAAAAGCAAAGAGCTTGCCAGACTAAAGAAAGAAACCCCAGCCGGTTCTGAAGTACCTGATTAGGGGGTGTGAGCTACAGAGATCCGGTCATTAAGGTGGAGGTGGACCACACTGGTGTCCCAGCCTGAACACCAGCATGGAGTAAACAGTTTATTAACAGTCCCTGTGTGGTCCGACAGCCTGCATCCAACAGACGCAACCTCCCAACAAGAACAGAGCCAGCCATAGGGCAGAGCTGTGTGGCCAACACCAAATAGAGCCTACAGAAGCCCAGAGGAGATAGTAATAGAATCCCAGATGCAGCCAAGTGCTTTATAGTGCAGAAGAGTGCATCTACTTATTTATATAGCACTGGGAGCTAGCCTCAGACCACAGCGATGCTAAGCTTCCCGATAAAGCAGATATACCCAAGAAATCACAGGCAGAAAGTTGTAGGGGACATCTGTGTTCTTAGAAATACTGTGGGTCCACAGAGATTCTCAGCTGTGACAATATTTGCTGCAGGGGGATTTAGCCTGCAGCCAAATATCCACTTCTCAAGTTCTGAGTCCAATTACAGATGTGTAAGTAGAACGCAGTGCCATTTCCCCGTAGGATTGTCTGTAGGCCAGTGAATCAGAGAACCTCACGACTCTCATAATCTCTAGAGGACTTGCTTGTTCAAGAAGGAAAGTCCCAAAACAGCCTCAGGGACAATGAACCAGTACAGGGCATGTTCAAGACAGGCTGGCTGGAAAAAAAAAAAAGCCATTCAAATGTTTCCCCCCAAAGGCAGGTGCTTCTCCGAAGACCAATCGGGAAGGGCCCAGGTGTTATTGTCAAAGGGGTTGGGCCACAGGGTAGAGCTTCCTGACTAATACAGCAGGCAAGTAGGCAGGTGCATGGGCTGTGTAATATATTCTTTTCTCAGAGTTGGGGCTTTTGGCTTTCTGAGACACCTGTGAGATGGGCTATTGCCTCCTGATGTAAAAAAATGGTGGTGTGACCCTGCCTTCATCCTTTCCCTCTCCTGGGCCCAGCTAAGCAGAGGCAGTAGAGGGTACAAACAAAGGCAGACCTTTTTTACCCCTCCAGGATTCAAGTCTTCTAGCCAGGAATCTGTTTGGATCCCTTCTACTGTAAAGCTTTCAGGAAGGCTTTCCCATGTATGACCCACACGCTTATAGTAGGCTTTCTGGGGAGTGCAGAGCTCTGCAAGCTCCTTCCCACCATGAGCGAAGGTCTCATGCCACAGGTGAAAACATGGCAGCTATGGTGAGAATCCTGGGAACCTAAACAGATAGAAGACCCATTGTGGTGAGCAGAGTAATGGTCCCCCAAAGATGTCCACATTCTAATCCTTAGAACCTGGGAATACGTTACCTTACATGACAAAGAGGCCTTTGCAGATGTGATGAAGTTAAGGCTCTTGAGATAGGGACATTGTCTTCCCAATTAGTCACTAGAGTCTTTGAGAGAGAAAGAGGAGGCAGGAGAGTCAGAGGAGGTATGACAATGGAAGCAGAGGTGGGAGTGATGTGGTTGCTGGCCAAAGAGGCCAAGAGTTGAGGAATGTGGCAGCCTCTGGACGCTGGAAAACCAGGGGCGCCTGGGTGGCTCAGCTCAGGTCATGATCCTGGGGTCCCGGGGTCAAGTTCCACATCAGGCTCCCTGCATGGAGTCTGCTTCTCCTTCTGCCTGTGTCTCTGCCTCTCTCTCTCTCTGTGTCTCTCATGAATAAATAAAATCTTAAAAAAAAAAGAAGCTATAAAAACAAGGAAATGGATTCTCCCTAGAGCCTTTAGAAGGAACTCAGCCCTGCTGACACCTTGATTTTAGTAAGACCCATTTTGTAGTTCTGATGTCCAAAACTGGAAGATAATAAATTTGTGTGCTTTCAAGTTTCTAAGTTTATTATCACAAGCATGCTCCTCATTTTTGTGTCTTTCCATGTGTTAGCCTCACTTTTAAAAAGGACTTGTTTCCCCTCATGCAGACTCTTGGGCCCTCCTGTAATTTGACACTGATGGGGTTCTGAACGACTCTGAACAGGTGAGAAGTGAAGATTCGAGGGCTAAGAGTAAAGAATTTGTTGCCTGAGGACAGATTCAGTGGCTACAGTAACAATTAGAACAAATAAGCCTTTCATACAAGAGCCAAGATCAACAAGCAAAGAGAAATAAGGAGGCCAGTCAGACTCAATTGGGGAGTCCACTTTCATTCCAGGGTAAATTTGCTGGCACAGTAGTATTTTCCCCTCAGGCATCTCTGTCTTATAGGCCTGGGGCAGTGAGTGGGAAAGAACTATTTCAGGTTTTTCTCCTCATTGTTAAATCTGACCTAAGCAAACATACACGTGTAAATACATACACAATTTGGTCTTTGCTGAATTTCATTTCACATCCGACATATTGACCTTGCCTCTTTTTTTCTTTTTTAAAGATTTTATTTATTTATTCATGAGAGACATAGACAGAGGCAGAGACACAGGCAGAGGGAGAAGGAGGCTCCCCACGGTGAGCCCAATGTGGGACTCGATCCCAGGACCCCGAGATCATGACCTGAACCAAAGGCAGATGCTCAACTGCTGAGCCACCCAGGTGCCCTCTTGACCTTGGCTTTGTATAAGCTATTAGAAGGACAGTATCTCATAGCAGTTCAACCATGGGCTTTGGGGTCAGAGAACTGGGTATGAATAAATAGCCTCTCTTCACGTTAGTAAATGACCATGGGCAGTTCATCACCACTCCTGAATCCCCATTGTCCCCATATAAAAGGGGACCAGTCCTAATCCCTAAGTTACAGCATCATTGAAAATATTAAATGGCATTGATATTCCTGGGCCATTATACAGTACTTGGCACATAGCTGGCAAGTGGCACAAACCACTTTGCTTATATGCAGATTCCTCACTTCCATGCAAATTTAACATAGTTGTTATTTTAATTATATTTGGTGGAAATAAATGTGCAGTTTAATTAATTATTCATTTTACAAGGCTCATAATCTGACCCAAATGTGATGAAGGCAGCAATGATAAAAAAGAGCATGCATTTACTGCTGTGCCCGACACTCTTTGAAACACTTTACGCATGAAGTAATGGAAGCTCACGAGGTTTGAGTAACTTGCCCCAGTCACCCGGCTAGTCAGCAGTAGAACTTGGATTTGAGCCCATGCAGTCTGAGCTTAGAGCCTGACCAAGCACTTTGCCATGTTGATCTACAAGGGAAACCCCCTCAGGACTTATGCCATGATTCCTATAACCATGGGATGATCAGCAGATTCACATCAGCTCCTGATTTCTCATGTCCTATAGGGTCAGTGTGGTACCCTGCGCATTTACCTGAAGATTAAATCGTGCTGATTACTATCTTGGAGATGTCATGTAATGAAAATCTTGGCTTCGCTGTGGAATATGGGAGATGTGGAGGAGGGTAAATGATTATTTCGCCAGGTGAGCAAGTCTTCCAGGCATCTCTCCAGCATTGTGGTCAGGGCAATCCCTGTGACTGCTAGTGACGGTTTAGGAATGATTCACTTGGAATTGTCTTCTGGGTTTACCTTTAGTGGGTAGTCATTTCCATGATTACGAATAAGAATGTGCTTTCCAGGATTCTGGAACATGTGAGTAGAAGAAAGAGAGTGACAACTTTGGGAGGTGAGGGGATCATCTAAAAAAATCCAGGGAAAGTAAAAATTAGGAAAAAATGAGCAACACTAAATATTGTAGATATCAGAGGGCAAAGTTCTCATGAAGCCTCAGGGAAAAAAAAAATCCTGGAAGAGATAAAGTGTCGAGTTCCAAACACTGAGAAAAGAAGTGGATTAAATGAGTTATTTCCAGGGTTTTTTTTTTAAATTTTTATTTATTTATGATAGTCACACAGATAGAGAGAGGGGGCAGAGACATAGGCAGAAGCAGGCTCCATGCACCGGGAGCCCGACGTGGGATTCAATCCCGGGTCTCCAGGATCGCACCCTGGGCCAAAGGCAGGCGCTAAACCACTGTGCTACCCAGGGATCCCTATTTCCAGGTTTTGATGGAAGCTGAAGTGGAGAGATTTCAAGGTGAGGTGAGAAGTCAGGCTCAATTCTATCAACATCCCACAGGTGACCAGGATTTCCTCCGCTCAAAATAGCAGCTGCTCCATCTGACCTGGAGTAGAATATTTCTGAGTAGTTTCCAAAGCAGCTGAATCCTGCCACCCCTGGTAGTCCTGAATGCGCGAGGAATTCTTTTCTTCCTTTCCTACAACTGTTTCTCCCCGCTATTTACTTCTGCTCCTTTCCCCCCACAGTCCCTGGTTAGATTTCTGGCTATTGGGATAGTTTAATCGAAAAGGGTACAAGGCAAATGGCCTGGCTTAGAAGCTGTAAGTGTGATTTAATGCCACTTTTCACATTCAATGGTGGGAGCCCACAGAGAAGCGTGCTAAAGACAAGAATCTTCTACTGAAGGAAGCAATATTTAAGAATATTTTTTTGGCTGTCATACTCTGAATTTAAAACTAATAAGTTTTACTTTCATAAATAAATAAAATAAAATAGAATAAAATAAAATAAAATAAAACAAAATAAAATAGTGAGTTCCTTGTGTATCACAGTGTGATTGGGCTGTCCGCACGGTTTGGGAAACACACAGTGTGGTTTCATTCAAGCTCGTGCTCCACTTCCATAGTGGAGAGCCTGCAGTTTCCATTGCACAGTAGTAGTAACATTTCAGCCGTGGCTTGCGAACCCTGGTGGGTGCTGTTGTCATGAATATTATTCCTGTGGGATTATTTTGTGTGGAGGCCTGGGTTTTGTTAATATTTTCAGAATCTTATCTCAGTTCACACATGTTTTAAATACCAGGAAGAGTTTACTGGGGAAGCCAAGGTTATGCAGGTTTCCTGAACCATGGTAAAATGACTTGTCCTTTCGTCCTTGTCAGTTTTGTTGCAGATTTGGAGAGTCAGGGACTCTTGTCTCAGAAGAGTGGGTGCCCTCAGGAAAAGGGGGGACCCTGATGAAGCAATGGAACAACAGAGGCCCAGGAAGAGCCAAACTAATAGAAGCTAAGGACGGAGAAAAATGAATGATGGAATAAATTGGGCAAACGTGACTTTACACCCTCTCAAGTCCTTTTGTACACCCCAAATATGCTGCTCAGTACATCGTTCTTTCCTTCATCCTTCATGCCACCCCCTCCCAATCATCACTTTCAGGAAAGATGTAGACACAATGGATCATCAAAAATAAGAGCAACAACACAGATGGAATGAGTGAGGAGAACTTACGGGAAGCAAACAAAGGCATGAAGCTAACAGAGGAGTTAGAATGAGAAACATTGTTCTTTTCAGTTCAATACAATCAAATCTCAGAGTGGATCTGGTAGTTGGCCTGTGTTTTTCGCTTCCTAAAAAAATATAGGATAAAAGCAACCACTTTGCTTATATCCAGATTCCTCACTTCCATGTAAATAATGGAGGGGTTAGGAAATAAGAGTGAAAATCTCCGTAGATGAGGAAATGAAGGGGATTGGCAAGATGTGGAATCAGACGGGTAATCAACAGAGAAAGGCTCCAAGCCATGAGGAGGGGAGGGACCACAAAGGAAGACTCCACAGGGGTGTGGTCTCCGGGACCAAGGAGCTCTGTCCTCACTCTCCAGCACCCCAGGCCACTTTAAGGGTCTACACTCAGTGAATGCTTTTTTGGCTCCTGTCTCCCCATCAGTGTATCAATGTATCCCCAGGGCAGTTTCTAACACATAGTAGATGGTCCATCGGTGCTTGTTGGACTTGGGTCTAAGGGCCTTGGATGGAAGAACCAGTACAAGGAAAACACATCGTGTGAGATGGAGATGATGAAAAACAGTAGTAAGGGGCAAAAGGAAAGACATCTTTCAGGTGTTGGTACAGATCTTTCCTGAGCCTTCTAGGATGGAGTGCTCCTCCTGTGGGTTTCCCCAGCACCATGCGCTTCCTTCACTGCAGTGCACAGAGGCCTGATGGGTAACTGCCTGTCTCTCTTCCCCCGTGGTCTTCAGGCTTTGAGCAGATGGTGGGTGTGCCCATCTGGCTCATGATGATGTTCTAGAATCTAGCACAGTGCCTGGTTTATTGTGGTTGTTCAATATATATTATTTTTTTATTTTTAAAGATTTTATTTTTATTTATTTGAGAGACAGAGAGAGAGAGCACAAGTTGCGGGGAGGGATAGAGGGAGAGGGAGAAGCAGACTCCCCGCTAAGCAGGGAGCCCAACGCCAGCTTCATCCCAGGACCCCTGGATCATGACCTGAGCTGAAAGCAGATGTTTGACTGAGCCACCCAGGACCCCCCCCCCCCCACTATTTTGAATGAGTGAGAAAATGAGACCAAAGTTAAAGGAAGAGTCTCATGAAGAAATAAAGAAATTTGTTTTAAAAATGACAGAGGGCATGAAAAGATGTTTAGACACCTCTGAATAAAGAAATTTAATTTGAAAAAAATAAAGACTCTATAGTGAGAAACAGGGAAGGACACTATGAGAGCAACGATAATGTGATATGATCTAGAATTTTGGTTTCCTTACCTATAAAATGAAATTAATTATCACCACCTCCTTTTTGTAAGGGTTAAATGACACCGTGTGTGAAGTGTTGAGTATTTCGTGGCCTCTACAATTAAGACTGTTAGGTTGTAAGTGATAGAAGCCCAGTGTGAAGTTATTTATGAGAAAGAAAGAGGACATTGTTTTACTGGCTTATGTACCCAAGCCAAGAGGAGGGCAGGGAGGGGGCAGTGTGAGTACTGTGGTGAACCCCAGATTCCCTTGGTGTGTTGGACTCATCCTTTCCAACTCCAGCTGTCTTTAGAAACCTGCCACTGTGGCCAACAGCAACTCCAGGTTCATGGCAACAGTTTTGCAGATAAAAAGGGAAACGGGGCTTCTCTCTCTGGACCCCAAATCAACAGAGCCCAAGAGTCCCATCCAGTTGTGTCCTTACCTCTTATGTTCCACACCATGCTCAGGAACCTGATGCACCATGGATGCCCTACTCTGGGTCACATGCTGAAACTACTGAGCCACCCAGGTGCCCCGCATGCTCATTTTTCAAAAGAGGACCAAAGCATTGAAGAAATCAGCATAGGCCAGGACCTCAACCCAATTTCTATCTCTGATATTCAGTAAATGAAATCTATTAAGGTAGGAGCAGTCATAATAAAATGCAGTGAAGGAAATGAAGGAGAGGAAACGATCAAGTTTTCCTTCAATTTGTCCACTCTGTCCTTAGTTTAATAATATGGACCTGCTGCAGATTTGTATCTTGGTCCCTACTCTGTATCTGATAGCTTAAAAAATTGGAAGCCACACACTGCACTATGTAGAAATCCATGTCCAGATTTGGTTGACCTTTCAGCCACACTCAAGATGATCAGCACCTTGGCACTGTTTCCTTTTCCCTCCTCCTCTTGTCTGAATAAATAAATGTCAAGTTCCACAGAAGGCACCATGCCTTCTATTTTCTTTTTGTGTACCTTACCTTGCCTTATTCACAGGATGCCATGTTCCCAGTGTTTATCGAGTGCCTTTTAATAATCGAATGAACAAGCAAGTGGATGAACAAGTAACATCATCAACAATCAACCATGTTACAAGATGAAACTTGTGCATCAAAATGTTTTCTCTAAAAGTAACTGGGGGCGCCTGGCCAGCTCAGTAGGAAGAGCACACAGCTCTTCATCTTCGGGTGAGTTTGGGCCCCATGTTGGACCCAAAAAGAGATTACTTAAATATATAAAAAAACTTTAACAAACAAAAAAATAAAATAAAATAAAAGGAACTCACTGAAAATAATTGAAAGGTTTGCCTCAGAAAATGTTTCCTAAGCCAGTTAAACATACTTGGTGGATGACTAAGATGTACAGATCCATGAGTTTGGCACACTTCCTGAAGAAATAGAAGATCTAGTCTCTGAAAAGGTTCCAATTAAATGACTTCTTAGTGTTTGTAAAGTAAGCTATTTTAATATTTCTCAGTGAAAGATTAATTTGTCCCCTTGTATTTCAGCTCTGAGCTGTTTTTGCTAATCCTACATGTAGAATTGAGTCTGAAAAGGCAGCATGGAAATCCAAAGAACACATTTACAAAAGAACTCATCAGCAAGGGAACATTAACACAGTGCCCTTGAATAGCTAAGTTCCGGGGGGCAACCGGCAAAGGAATGAATCAATTCATGTGCAATCAGTCCTGAAATGTTTCCTGAACGAGGGGAGTTTGGAGTCATATTTTAAAGAAAGTTAGAACCATGCACTGAAATAAGGGGCAGGGATGGAAACTGGAAAAAGGAATTATCTAGTCACAAACATGAATTTTAAACTAAGACACATTGATCTCTTTCTCCCTGTCCTCAGGAAAATATATTATCTCTGAGATTAATGAGGGGAAGGGAGATGGGGTGTGAGATCAGATGGGGGAAACTAGTAGGCTCAGTGGGCTCCCTCTTCCTCTCAGCTGTTTCCAGAAGCAGGATCGCTGGGAGAGATCTGCACCAGTTGGGCCACAGTAGCTGGAGTTTGAACACTTGCAGGATGCTGACAGGCTGTGAAACCAGGGATCTCAGAGAAGCAGAGATAATCAATAGGGTGGTTGGGCAGAGACGTCTGGGTAAATAGGAGAGGCAACAAAGTATGTGGGAGGCATCTGCCTGGATTTACAGAGGTGAATAGGATGAGACAAACAAAAAATGACAGAAAGAGAGAGAGAGAGACAGAGAGAAACTGCCTGGTCAGGAGAGCCTCGCCACGTTTCAGTAACAAACTATTCCCACATCTCTGTGGTTCAAACAAAAGTTTGCTTCTTGCTAACACTTCTGGTCCATTGCATGTTAGCATTATAGTCAGGAGGAGCCAGGCTGATGGGAGCTCCCTCTTGACACGTGCTGCCGCCAATGACAAGACAGGACAAAGGCAGTTTGTGGCATCTTCTGTACTGTTTTTTTTTTTTTCCCAAACAATATTTTTATTTTATTACTATAAATTCTGCTTTGAAGCTAAAATCCTTTTTATCATCTAAATAACACAGTCACCCCCATAAATATTTATCAAGGGGACTCTATGTATTGTTCCCTGGGACTCTACCATCCTGGAGTTTATATTCTGCACTGGTTCTTAATGCTTGCACCCAGAAATGACACACATGTCTTCTCACATTTCATTGGCCAGAACAAGTCATATGGCCATACTTAACTTCAAAGTTTTTGATCATCTCCTTTTAGTTTAATTTCCTAGTAAAATATGCTTCAGATTCTCAAGCTCAGCACTTTGTTTCTTTTTAAATTTGAAGTCAGTCTCCATCTGTATTTATTTTAAGATCTGCGAAGAAAGAAGTTATAATAAATGAAGAAGGCCTGGATTATGTTCCATGGGGAGTCATCTTCTATGCTGAATGAAGGGCCATGCTCCAATAGAATATTCTTTAGGAGGCAGAAGATTCAGGTGGAGAGGCTGACGTGATTAAGTAAAAGCTGGCCAAGGGGAATTCTCTGAATAAAAGGACCTTTGCTTTGCATTATGCAAGAGCAGGTCCAAAGCCAAAGATGCATCAGAGCTAGGGGGAGAGCCTGCATGCTGGGGTAGCGACCAGCGAAGGCAAACAGTACCCCACTGGGTGACTGAGGTCAAGGAGTATTTGATAAATGTGTATTTCTGTCAGGCTCTCTGTCTTGGCAGTAAGACACTTGGGACAGTGAAGATAAGATCTGTCTCCTGTCCACTTATCTGCTCCAAGATTAATGAAGTAACATGTCCCTTAGGGATTGAAATTTAAGATTAAACGTAATGGTTTGGAGTGGAAGAATGCAATGGCCTTTTGAAGGACACAGCCTCTCAATCCACTAAGATTCATCTGCTGAAAACTTACTGAGTTCCTTCCTATGGAACCAGGCACTGTGTAGGCACTTGAGATGTGGTGATGAACAAGACAGAAGTAGTGGGTACTGTGAGGTAGCTCCCAGGAATGAAGCTGCAGGGGGTGCTAATGGCAGATGGCCCTCAGCTGTCAGCCCTCAGGAAGCTGTCTCCTTCAGGGTCAAGTCCGATTTAGAGAACAGCCCACATCTAGTGACTGATCAATGAGGGGCAACATCCAGGCAGAGAAGGCAAGTATAAGAGTCCTGAGGTGGCACTAGGCTTCAGGAATATGGCAGGGAGAGAGAGGTGCACTTTAGCTAGAGTGGCATGAGCAAG